TACTGTGAGGCAAGGGCAAGGGGCAAAACACGCACCAGTGGAAGAACTGATTTATTTTACGAAGGAGTAAAGTTTCCTGAGTTTTGAAGGACAAATAAATACTTAGGACAAGGGAGGCTGAGCCAATGGCATGAGCAAAAGCACTGAGGTATGAAAAGGCATAGGATATTTGCAGAACTACAAGTAGGACTGAAGGGTAAAGAGCAAGAGGCAAGTTGAGGCTGGAAGGTCGGCAGGGTCAGAGCCTATCATTCTGTGCGTTTTATTCTACGGGTTGAAGCGCCAGCAGAAAAATTTTTAAACAAGGAAAACTTATGATTGGACTTGCACTTTAGAAAGATTCCTTTGGCTACACAGAGAATGACTCTGGGTCAGAGGTTAATTCTAGACTGGAAATCCAGTTTGACAGCTATTGAGGAGCAAGGATGATAGCCTGAACTAAAGTAATGGAAGTGAGAATGTCTAGCAGAGGAGAGATTGGAGAGGTTTTGCAGTAAGAGTCCTCACACTTCATGACTGATTAAAGGTATGTGGAAGGGAAAGGGAGAGTAGGGAAGGGTGGGGGAGGTCTTGAGAGTTACTTGAAAATTTCTGATGTAGGGGGAATATCTGGGTATTTGATAATGTCTGACTAAATTAGGGAATAAAGGAAAACAAAGGGGAAAGGGATGAGAAGAAATATCTCAAGAACTAAAGTTACTTCCCTACTCCTCTAAAGTATAATTTGTACATACATTTTTTAACTATCATGTAGCTAAACATGTCTGATTATGCACTGCTAGGTTTACCAGGCATTATGATGTGAACAATCCAGCCATTTGTGCCCAAGAGTTTAGCAAGCAAGCTGCCCCTCCCTAACTTAAAAAAAAAAAAAAAAAACTATCAGTCTAACACCCACCATGTTTGGCAGCTGGAACAATTCCCTTCCTTAAGGATTTTACAATAATATTACAGGAGACTAAAGTACTGACACCCATGAGAAAGAAGGTGAGGGTAGAGGGCAGTCTAACAGTCTTGGTAACATTTTGAGGTTGAGGTCTAGTAAAGACTTTTAATGTTTCCTGACCTCCACTCAATTTCAAGGTCATTTTAAGAACGTAAAGGACGCGTTAAAAGTAAGCAAGAAGTGGATAATGATTATTAAATTTGGAATACATTTTATTTTTCTTGTAGCCGTTATGTTGCCAGGTGGAAACCTCAGGTTCTGCTTGGTGTGACTTGTTACAACCGATAAACAAGAAGCCGAGGTGGGAGATCAGAAAGGCGCCTTTATTTCATTGGCCAAGGAAAGGAGACTGTCAGGGCTGTTGCCTCCAGGACTGCTCGCATGGAAGATGGGATTTTACAGAGAGCAAACAAGAAAATGCAAATTTATCATGAATATGCAGGATTGACCTTCTTGCAGGCGCTCAGAGGTTGGGGATGACTAGGCATTTTGTTTAGACAAGGGTTTCATTCTCCAGGACGGAGGAAGAGGGCGATTTTCTTTTATTAGCATGTTAAGTCTCCACCCAGAGATGGGGTGCTTATATGTATTTTCCACTTAAGGAGCTAATAGGTCACTTAAAATGCCAAGATGGCGTTGAAAACCTGCTAAAACCGGTTGAGGCCATCTATGGCTTGCTCTGTGGTTATCTTGTCAAGGACAGTTTCAGAACAATGTGCAGCCTCTTCTGCTCTGTGAAGGAGGATAAGCCAGAGCAGGTGTCTCTTAGAAGGGTTGGGCTCTGAGGGTATATGCCTCAATTATACAATATAAATGAAGTGGAAACTTTCAGAAAGGTATTGCACTAAGACATAGAGAAAATTTGGGAGAAATTATAAACTAGTGGCAATCAAAGATGGAAAGCCAAGGTGTAAAATTTCATGTGACAGTGTTACCAGTAACACAGGTGTTAGCAAACGTTTTCTGTAAAGGGCCAGATAGTTAATATTTTAGATTTTGTGGACCATAAGGTCTCTGTGGCAACTACTCATATTCACTTTGTAGCAAGAAAGCAGCCATAGGCAATATGTAAAGGAATGACCACCATGGCAGTATTCTAATCAAAAATAATTTATGGACACTGAAATGTGAATTTCATGTAAGTGTCACGTGTCACGTGTCACTAATCATTATTTTTCTTTTCAACTATTTATAAGGGTAAAAAACCATTCTTAGCTCACAGCTGTAGTTTGCCTGTCGTGGTATAATGTAAAATATAAAAATTCAAATAAACCTGTTAGGTGTGGGAACTGTTACAGGGTGGCATATGCTAACTTCACAGTCTACTGTCCAATACAATATATATGAAAGCCCTTTTTAGTGACAATTAGTCTGTGCTGCCATGCCAAGGAATGGTGACATCAGCGTGGTCAGGCCATGGCCCATATCACTCAACAGCCTCCAGGCAGCTGGCAAAGGGCCCTCAGCTGGAGGGCGGGGACTGGGCGCGCATAAGGCCTTCAGGGGCGTGGAGATAGTGGTTTTGCTCACCTAAAAGCGTATGCCATCCTGCGAACATGCATGCCGAGTGTCTGCTCTGAGGCCAGGCACACCAAACAAAAGCAAACTTTCCCAGGTCAGGTGCCAAGCAAGATACTATCCACCGTCAGGTCACGCCCCACTGGGCCACGCCTTCCCGGCCGCACGCGCGTGTCCGCACTCACGTCTTCCGCAGATGTTCGCCCTCGCGCTTTGTCATACACTATTGCGCATGCCTCGGGGAGAGGGTGGAGCGGCTACTGACAGGGAGGTATCAGCTCGAGCGAAGCTGAAGAAGTACACCCTGGTGGGCGGGTCAACGCAAATAACCTGTGCGTCACTTCTTCTGTGGGCGGGGCGGAACTGAGGGGTGGCATCCCGGCTGCCGCCCCTGTGTTTGAAGCTCAGCTGATGTAGGCCAGTCGGAGCGTACGTCCTTGCCGGGAGGAGGCGAGTCGCCACTGTCGCCGAAGTAATTGCGGCCTGCATCCCGGTATGTGGCCGATGGGAAACAGGGCGGGACGATAGGAGGCAGCCTGTTCTCCCGGGCACTTGTCCAGCTCTCCCGGTCTTCTCTTTCCTCGCGTGCTCGGAGAACAGTTTCAGCATCAACGGGTGGGGAGACACCCGGCTCCTAGGAGACCTATGACCAAGGCTCCGAAACGGGACCGGGCACCGGAAGGAGCCATGGATCCCGGGACTGATTGGTGCGCGGTGGCCTCCGCCCTCTGCACCCTTTGCAGCCTCCCACGCGCGAACTCTTGGTTTCTCAGGTCCCGCCCCGCGCCTCCCTGACTTCCCACGCCCGTGCCTCCCAGCCCAGCTTCCGTGAGTCTGACTGGGCTCCTCCGGGCTGGAATCCAGCAGTGCGGTGGTGCCTCACACTGGTTTCCCTATTCTCATTCTAGATTGTGTTTGTCAGTGTGCACCTGGTGACGCCACTGCTTGATCTTTTTATCAGCGGTTGCTTTTTAGCTCTACCCACATTTAACCCTATCCCTGACTGCTGTTGTTTAAGCGAATTCAGGTGTGTGCTTTTTAAAAGCTGACGCTTCATGAATCATTGTATTGCAGTGCTTCCTGTCCCTATGTCATTTCTGTCATTATGCTGGGAGGAACCTAGTTTACAGGCCTAATAGAATGGTGACTTTAAAGAAAAGTAGTGACTGCTAGGAAAAACCTTAAAATAGCTATGTGGTATAAGAGAGTATCACATAATCCTATTTAAATTAGTTTTTACTTCCAGTAAACTTTTTTTATCCTTGTTCTACAGTCCTAATTGTTCAGATCTCAAAGATGGCAAAAGTATGTTTCAGTGCTTCAAGAAAATGTTGTTAAAACAGTGAAATATTAACTAAACCGAAAATTCTTAAAAGTATATTAAACTGAACTGTAGAGTTTATGCCTCTGTTGTGAGGCAGCCTTAAGCCCATTGTAGCTGCCTTGTTAAACTGCAAATTAGTTATACTTTCAATATAAGAATTTTTTTTTACTTCACAATCTTCTAATCAATTAAAATTTTTTTGAATGCTGATCTAGTTTTTCTATTTCTGTATCATGTTTAAATTAAAATCGTATAAACGTTGTGCTTTTGAGTTAGTGATGTCGAGTGAAAGGATCAGTTTTACTAGTTATATATTCACTTGCTTCATACAGAAAGTTGATGCAAGTACAGCTTGTACTTTGAGTTGCTATTTTTCCCCACTAGTGATAGAGGAGGGAGCCCTGGTGGCGGAATGGTTAAGCGAACAGCTGCTGATTAAAAGTGGTTATGCGCTCTCTGGGCTGCTAACCGAAAGGTGGGCAGTTGGAATCCACCAGCTCCTCTGGGGGAGAAAGCTGTGGCAGTCTGCTTCCGTAAAGATTACAGCCTTGGAAACCATACAGGGCAATTCTTCTCTGTCCTCTGGAGTAGCTGTGAGTCGGAATTGACTCGAAGGCAATTTTTTTTTTTTTTTTTTAAATGGGTAGTGATAGAGGAGTTGTACTGAACCATAGAGTACATACTGCTTCAGTTTGTGGAACATGTATTTGTGAAAAGGTCAGCGTTAGAACCTTAGCCCTAGACGTTTTTCTGTTCTCTCATTGCTTAATTCTAATCTTTCTCTCCTATGTTGTATGTTATACTTTCTGGATTGATTATCCATTATTTCGTCTTTTTTTTTTTTTTTTTGCTTCCATCCTATTAAATTTTTTTGTTGTAGTAGCTATACACAACATACAATTCGACATTTTATCCTTTTTCAAGTGTATGATCCAGTGGCATTAGTCACACTCACAATGTTGGGCAACCATCGCCACTGTTTGCTTCCAAAACCTTTTCATCCCCCCAAACAGAAACTGTACCCATTTAGCAGTTACTTCCCGTTCTCCCCTCCCCCTTGCCCATGGTAACCACTCTGCTTTCTATGCATTTGTCTATTCTAATATTTTATGTAAATAAGGTCATGTAGTATTTGCCCTTTTGTGTCTGGATTATTTTTCTTAGTATAATGTTTTCAGGGTTCATCCATGTTGTGTATGTATTAAAATGTCATTCCTTTTTGTAGTGGAATAATATTCCATTGTACATATCCATTACTTCTTAACACTTCCTCCTGTATTGGTTTACATTGCCCTGATTTGTTTCAGAACATCTTTTCTCCTATACCTTTTGTTTTCTCTGGAAGACTTTTCTTCCTCTTCCTAACTCTGGATGGCACACAAGGCTCTCCCTTGTACTCTCTAAACCAGAATGTTAAAATCTGAAACCCAAGGAATACTTTAGTAGGTCCATAAGTGTCCAGAAATTTTATGCAAAAAAAGTAGTTATGTATTTACAAATAAGCATTTTTCAAGGAAGAGGTGCTTTAATCAGGTTCTGTGACCCCCAAATGCTCAAGAATTATTACTGTAAACTCTCCTTTGGTAAATTCATCCAGTCTGATGGTTTCACTTGTTACTGTGCTAATACGGCCAGTTATAAATCCACAGCCTGTATTCCTACAGTTCATCTCCATTTTAATGTCTCATCATTAGTTAATCCTGTAACTCTAAAGTAGAACTCATTTTTCTCCTATATTAAATTGGCCCCTTTCCCAGTTATCACATATTCGTAAATGACATTTTCCCTGTGTCTTTGAATAAAAAGCTTACAATTATCTTGACACCTCCCTTTTCTTGCCCCATTTTTGGCTGTCATCAAGTCCTGTGTTTTTTGTTGTTTTCTTTGTTTTTCCCCACTTTCACGGTGTGGCAGAGAGTAGCTCTCTTTTCCATTTCAGTAGTTACCTTGATTCAGACCTTTGTTACCTTATGCCTGCATTATTGCAATAACTAAATTAAGCCCTCTATAAATTCATCCTTTCCAAGCTCAGCTGAGCCTCCACTTGGCAAATTTCCTCATTTCTTCTTGTTAAAGCTCCATATCCTTAGTGGTTGGTCCAAGCCTCTCCATTCTATTCATACTTCATCTTCATCCCTACTGTTTCTCAGTTGATGACAGCATAATTCTCTTTATATTCTTGCAAGCTAACTTTTGTTCCTACTGAATTTACTCTCCGAACTCTTATCTTGAATTTACTAGTGTTATAATTTGGGAGCAATTAAATTAAGCTCGTTGATTTTGTTGATCAGATCTCTATTTTTTAGTAATTTTTGCTTAATTGTTGCAGTTTCTGAGAGAGGTATATTAAAATTATGATCCTGTAGTTGTCTTCCTGTAATTGTGCACATTTTTTGTTTTATATAGTATATTTCAGTGCCAAGTTGGTAAGTATATTCATAATTAGCCATGATGGTTGTATCTTACTGGAAAGACACAATGCAAACTCCTCACCTAAGTTAGGCCTAAGTAGTCTCTAGGCCTACTTTGCTCTGTCGTCTGCCTAACTCTTAGTCCCATCTTTATCATTCTTTCCCTTCCATGCTTCCCTCAGCTACCTTGTTGTTCTTGCTATTCCTTAAATGTACCAAAGCTCATTCTTGTTGCCAAGGCTTTGGTTGCTTTTTCCTCTGCCTAGAATGTTTGTTTGTTTTCCCAGATTCTTTTAATAATTTGTTTCTGGACCTCATTTAGGTCTCTGCTAAAGTGTCCCCTTAGTTTATTTCCTGATCACACCATCTGAAATGGCACCTTCTGTGCTCCTGCATGGCATTTCTCACCCTGACATTATACATTATGTTAGTTATTTGTATACTTGTTTATAGATTGTCTTGTTCTCAAAGGCCTAGAATTCTACCTGAGGTTTAGTAAGTAAATTATACCTTTTGTTATATAGTATTCCCTTTTTAATCCTTATTTAATGCATTTTGCGTTAAATTTGCCTTAAAATGCTTTTCATTTTCTTTTGGTTAATATAGGCCTGGTGTATCATTTTCTTCATCCCTTTATTTTCAACCTTTCTTTGTCATTGTAAGTGTGCCTTGTAAACTAGCATGTAGCTGGATTTTTTTATTTCTAAAATTTTGCTTTCCTTGTTCACTTTTTGTAAAGTTTTCTTTTTGCCTCTTTATTATTGTTCCTTCTGGTATGTCTTTGAACATTTTAAACCTATTTAATTATTTCTAAATCTTGGTTACACATTTTCCTGTTCACTGTATTTGATGGTGCTCTCTGAAGGTTATAATTCATTTCCTTGCATGTTCTTTAACCTTCGACTGTGAGTTAATCTTCAGTGGTGATTGTCTCCTATGAGAGTCCCATTTGCCCTGAGCTGTGAAGTGTCCTCACATGCTGCTATCAGGTGACCACTGGGGCCCTGTGGAATTCCCCAGTTCTGACCAGTTTTCATTTGTACAGTGAGGTAGTGTGACTGCAGATCCAGATCTGGGATTGCTGTTGAACATGGTGATTTCCCACTGCTGGTCTTGAGCGTAGCTTTTTATCCAAAAGTACTTTTTGCTGTATTTTGTCAAGTATTTCTGTGTGCTGGAATTTGAGGGGCTTTTACGTTAACTCAGTTTACCACGTTGATCTCAAGTCCTAAGGAGTTCAGAAGAGTCAGGAAGGCAGACAACCTCAGCTCGGGTCTGGTTTCTGTTTTTCTCTTCTCCCCTCTGTATGGTTGGGCATTTAAAAGTAATATGTGCAGAAGCAATTTATGAAGAATGATTTTAGTTCACACTAACATCTTTTGGACAGTTACAATAGGTTCTTGGTTTCTGTCTTTCTCAGTCACTTCGCCTTACTTCATCTGTCATTGTGCTTTCTAATGTTGTTCCTTAGCTTAAAATACTTTAACAGTTTGGTCTTTACTCTCCTTGGCAAGATTTATAAGACCCCTTATAATCTCACCCCAAACTATCTTTTCGGTATCATTTTCTACCTCCCCCTCATATAATCTCTCCAGGTCCTGCAGTGACACTAGACTACTTGAAATTTCATACTGTGTATGCTTTCTTACATGCTTTTTTTGTATTTGCTTGTGTTTATTTTTTTCCCCTTTACCTAGGATTCCCTCCTTCCCTTTTGTCTTTACTATGCGATGAATTCCTTTTTAACTTTCCCCTATTTTTAACCTCCTTTTTCAGACTTCCTTTGATTTTGCCCCCACCTTGTGTCTTTCATTCACATGGTACCTGTTAAAGTGCTTTAAATTTTTGCTTTCTCTAATCATAAAAGTAATACCTGCTCATCGTAAACAATTCAGAGAATAATAAAGTAAAAAGTAAAAGCCCTTCTCCTCATTTTCTTTAGGTCTCACTCCTCAGTACACAAGAATAAACAAACCATTGGATGTTTATCTTTTTAGAGTGAATCAGTCTCTTTCTCATATACATCTATTTCCACAGATTTAAACCACATACATAGGGTTTTTATGTTCTTTTATTATGTTGTTGTTGTTAGTTGCCATGGATTCGATTCCAACTCATGATGACCCCGTGTGTGGAGTAGAACTGTGCTCCATAGGGTTTTGCTTTTTTTTTAAATCTCAGACAGTGCTGTAGGGAATGCATAAATAAATATACCTTTGCACTCTTGTGCAAGTATTTCTGTAGGATAGATTCTTAATAGTGGAATTGCTGGTCAAAGAATATGTGTATTTAAAACTTTAATAAATAGCATTTAAAATTTCATTTGATACTGTCAAAAAGCTCCTGTGTCCCATTTGCCTAGCTCATTATCAACACTGGGTATTATACAGTCATTTAAATTTTTGCCAGTTGATAGAAAAAATATTTTCTGTTTTAATCAGCAGTTTTTTTTTTTTGATGTGAAGAAGCATAATTTTACTGTTTGTATTTCTTCTACTGACCTGTTTATGTTCTTTGTTCATTTTTCTGTTGGATTCTCTCCTTTCTTGTTTGTAGATGCTCTTTTTAGATTATGGTTGTTAATCCTTTGTCTGTTAAATGTTACACATAGTTTCTTCTAGTCAGACTTCTTTGATTTAATGGGCATTTAGGGACTACGTAGTGACTCTCTCTTGCTCTAGACTGGAAGTTTGTTAGCATCCTGTTTGTCTTTATAGTCCCAGCACCTAGCCCATGTCTGGTACAGATTAAGTATTCCATAAACGGTTTGCAGTGAATGAATTACAAGACCTGATCCTTGTCTTCAAGAAACTTAAAATCTAGTGTCACATGAACTAGTCAAGAATTTAGCAATAAGGAAAACAAAAAAATAGCATCATGTCTAAATTGCATATTAAATTATGTGTTATAGGAAAACTTATCTGTTGGGAAGCCTCCCTATGTTAGTTCTTGTGAAACATCCTACTACTCAGTTTCTTTTTCAATTGAATTCTATACTGAAAGCTGAAATTTTTTTATTAGCTTAAAAATGAAATCTGTAGCAGCCATCATGGAAATATATTATTCTGTCTTCTTTTGAGGAAGTTGCTAAGTTTACTTCAAATAATAACATATTTTATCTTGCACCTGATTTCAATTTTATCTTGAATTCTAATTTTTTTTTCCTTGCCATTTCAGGTAAGACCATGAATTATGGCATTTCTTAAGTGAAACATTCAGGAATGAAGTGAGAGAAAGTCATAAATATAGAAAATAAGTGATTTTTAAGTTATGTCTATTAATTTGACGATAGATATATATATTTACCTCCTTAGTAATGCAAGAAGTCTTTGTGGGAAGCAGAGAAGCAAGCAACTGCATTTCTTGTGCTCACCTAAATATTACTGGAGGGTAAGCCACATCAGTCCACAAAGAGGTTTTCATACAAGCAAAGTAAGATGTAAATGGACCAAAAGTGAAGCACGTTCTTGCAGTAAGCACTGCTGCTGGCCAAGCAACCATGGTTTACATAGTGGAATTTTGAAACTTAGCACTTCTGCTCCTAAGGGACTTACAAAAGTGAGCATTCGTATATCCCGTATTAAAAGTACTCTGCACTCTATTTCAAAGGCTGTTTTTGGCAGTCAGAATGAAATGATTTCACGTTTAGCTCAATTTAAGCCAAGTTTTGGAATATTAAGAAAAGTATCAGATAGTGGCTGGTTAAAAGAGAAAAACATTAAACAAGCCATCAAAACGCTGAAAAAACATAGTGACACATCAACAACAGAGAGTCCCATTGTAGGTAAAGATGAAGATACAGGTAAACAAAGTCTTTTTCAGTACACAAGTAGTATAACAACAAAATTTGAAGAGTCATTCTCCTTTTTATCAAACCATATTAACTCATACTTCCTAAATAAGGAAAAAATGGCTCAGAAAAAGGAAAGTGAACATTTCCAGGATAAATCAGAATCTGAAGATAAAACAATTGAAGGAGACGAAAAATTCAGTTCTGGCATCTCGACCAATGACAAGCCACACTCAGAATCTTCTTTAGATCCTGCAAGTCCTAGTGAGACACCTGGAGTTCTTCCAGTTTCTACTAAACAAAGTATTACTAGCTTTCTTTCTCGTCCAACTGGAGGTGTACAAGCTTTAGTTGGTGGTTACATTGGTGTCCTTGTCCCCAAATTAAAGCCTGATACAAAAAATACATCAGAAGAGAAAGAGGCTACGAAAGCTGAGTTGGCTAACGGTAAAGACAAAGTTGCAGAAGAGAAGAAACGTTTATCTCTTCAGCGAGAAAAGGCAAGTCATTATTCATTGTGGCTTTAAGTAGTAGTAATTTTTGTCAGATTTATAGCATGTTTAATTTCCTGATGAGACCTAAGAAACTTCAACCATTTATTGGTATTACTAGCGTGATTTCATATGCTAGTCATATATATTTAATATGTATTTATAGATTATTGCAAGAGTGAGTATTGATAACAGAACCCGGGCATTAGTTCAAGCATTAAGAAGAACAACCGATCCAAAGCTCTGTATTAATAGAGTTGAAGAACTGACTTTTCATCTTCTAGAATATCCTGAAGGAAAAGGAGTGGCTGTCAAGGTAATTTCTAATTTATTTAATCAGGTTTTGTCTTAGAATAAAAATACTAATAAACCTTTTAAAATGGAGAAGGCAAGGCCTTTCGTTGTTCTGTTTAAATTTTTGTGGTTTTTAACATACATGTGATGTATATTTGGTAATTGCCCCACTATTCTATGATATAAATTATACTAATTATTTCCTTTTATTGTTATATAAATTATGCTATCCGTACTAATATCTTTACCTTGAGATTAAACATCTGTAAAATATAAGATAATCTCAGCATATTGGTTGAATTGCCGAAGAGCTGCCAAATTTTTCTTAAATGCAATGTAGATATTTATACTATGTAACCATGCTTTTAAGACTGGCGATGTAATTCAAAAGTAAGACTTTCATGTTTGAAAGTCTAACAATTTTAGTCACCTTATTGATAATGGAATTGGTAATGATGCTGAGTAAAACAACCAGCCTTTCTTTGCCTCAGTTTTCTCAAATATAAAATAGTGAAGGTGATTTAGACCCATTTAAATAGACTGTTCTCAGAGAAATGCTATAAAATATGAATAATGTAATTGAGTCTATATAAATATTATAGTATTTATATCTGTACTATTAAAATTATTTTGTAATATTTAATGAACAATTTGAAAACATAGTGTAATGACTAGATTTTTTAGAATTTCCTTAGAAATCTATTAGTGCTTATTTTTAGCTTCCCGTTTAGAAAATTTTAAATTAACTTAGTCCACATTTATTCCACTTTTTGACAGTCATCTTGCTAAACAGTTATCTAAGTTTCTGGATAATGTGCCCTTCCTTAATTTTATATTGTACAACACATGCATTATAATTAAACTAGTTGCCGTCAAGTCCACTCCAACTTATGGTGATCTTGTGTGTCAGAGTAGAACTGTGCTCCGTAGAGTTTTCAGTGGCTGAGTTTTTCGAAGTAGGTCATCAGGACTTTCTTTTGAGGCACTTCTGGGTGGACTCGAACTCCTGATCTTTTGGTTAGCAGCTGAATGTGTTAACCATTTGCACGATTTGCCTCTTAACTTTTGAATGTGGACAAAATATTGTGTAAAATCCAAAATGTTAATGTAACCTTTTGTTGTAACAACTAATACTTTGTAAATTTGTATTAAGCAAATTATACTTTCTCTAATTGCTAAGGATTGCACCTTTTTAACAGAAATACTTGGATAGAGGCTCGTTTTAATTGTCCTACATATTGTATGTCAAAAACTAATCTTTCTTTTATGATTATTGAGAAAATAATAAACACTGGCACTCTGATTATATGTGATGATCTGTATGTGTTGATTAAAAATTATTATACATTTTCACTCTTGGTTTTAAAAAGACAAAATAGCTTTTCTCTCAATATAGGAAAGACTTATTCCATACTTACTACGAATTCGACAAACTAAGGATGAAACTCTTCAGGCTGCAGTTAGAGAAATTTTGGCCTTAATGGGCTACGTGGATCCAGTGAAAGGGAGAGGGATTCGAATTCTCACGATTGATGGTGGAGGAACAAGGTAAGGCCAAAAAAAATGATTTTTAAAAACTTAGAGATTCGGTTAAGTTTTAGGAATTTTCTTTTTACCTGATTCTGTAATTATATCATCATTAAGTCAGATTTTTAAAATAAAACATGAAATTGTTTTTCTTAATTTATTACTTTGTCACTCTGAGAGCTGCTTTAACATATGCCTGGATTAACTCTTAATTTAATATGATATTTGTATTTTCATTTAGTCTTTTCAGACTTTCTTTTTGCTAGCTTAGGACTTTTTGTCAACCATGATTCTCTTAAAATCTTGGCAGCGTTTTCTAATTTAGCTTTCTTTTATTGTATTTATCTTACCCATATGTATCAATTAACTTATCACTTAATGAAGTGATGGTCATTAGAAAAGTAGTATCAGTAACTTCCTGGCTCCCTGTATCTTTACTTGCAAATGCCAGTTTTGGTGCTATACAGGAAATAAATGCTTCTTAGCTCAGAAAAAGATAATTTTACTGTCAAGCTCCATTGCTACTACTGGCAATACATCTATGTTTCTTATTCTCTCTTAGTTTGTTTAGTTCCTGCCTACTTGTTGCTTAGATTCTTTGGCTTGGCTTTGTGAAATTTTACCCCGCAGATTTTCTAGCTTGGGGTCCAGTTCCCTGCTATATCTACTCTTATCTGCTTAGATTCTTATTATATGCCTGCCTATTGTTTTTAGCTTTAACTTACCTCTCTGATTTCACTCTGGTAACCCTGCCTTGCCAGTCAATCTTCTGTATGCTCAAGTGCTATTCTGACCTTCTTGTTAAATTCCAGTCAGTGTATCACCTCTTTTTTATACTTTGACAGCAGTGTGGAGCAATGAGAGAAGAAGGCTATTTAATAATCTAGGCATATAACACTAACCTTCATTGTTAGTGGTGGTGGCAATGGGAAGCAAGAGGAAGGGAAAAATGCAAGAAAATTTTGAAGAAAAAGGGGGACTGGATATGGTAAAGTTAGGTCAAGATCACTCTTAGTTGTAAACCCTGTGGGTGACAGGGACAGAGTTTCAGATACAGGCAAGGTTATTGGTGTTGAGAAAGACAGTTCTGTTTTGGACTTGTTGAATATAAGGTTACACACATGCATATGAAGTGCTCCCTTGGCAAATGGAGATGGAATCGATTGAGGAAAAAAAAATCTTAGGAGATCTTGGTGGGTGTTACTTAGGGAAGTGAAATAATCCAAGAAGGTGAACATCACTCATGTGAATGATAAAGTGTTAATGAATTGGAAAGAATAAGTCTAGTTCATAGAATTGGTTGCAAGTGAGAAGAAGTAGGGAAAGTGGCAGTTAAATGAGTTTCACTGAGGAACGGGAGGAGGCCAATCCTCTCTACCATTAAGTTCAGGGGAGTTGGGAGGAATAGTATCATTCATCAATCGATTAACAAATATTGGTTGTCTGCTATGTTCTAAGCATTGATTTCAGTCCTGGGGACACTCGATATACAAAGCAGACAAAATCCAAGTCTTTATGGTACTTGCATTGTAGAGGAGGAGAGAGACAATAAATAGGAAAACTAATAAAATTGTACAATTTGGTAAGAATGGGTGCTATGAAGAAAAGTAAAGTAAGGGTCTAGAGAATAATGGTGCTATTTTTCTTTTAGAAAGAGTAATCATGGCTTCTTTTTGAGGAATAGTATTTGAGTAGAGATCTGAAAGAAGCAAGAATATTAGAGGACAGTCAAATGTCTATTTAGAGTGAGGGAGGTATGGTGAAAAAGAGATTTGCTATCAGTATTTGATCTTATAGGAGTTTTTTAGTCATACAGGGAGACAGTTGGAGTGAGATTTGGGAAAGTCTAGGGATAGGATAGCATGAAAGTAGGTTTCGGTCAGTGGTTCTCCACTGGGGGTGATTTTTCCCACCAGAGGTTATTTGGCAATATCTGAAGACATATCTTGGTTGTTCATCACTGAGGGGCTGCCACTAGCATCTAGTAAGAGAAGGACTGTTGCTGCTAAACATCTTACAATGCACAAGACAGTCCCCCACAACAAGAAGTATCTGACATAAAATGTCAGTAGTGCCACTGCTGAGAAACTTTGGTTTAGGGAAATATGAGAAAGTAGCCAGAAGGGAAGGTTTGTGTTGAAATCAGTAAAGTATGAAGTTTGTGAGAAAAGGAACCCATATCTTTTATTTCTTTTGTATAAGAGGACATGAGGAATCCTGGTGGCGCAGTGGTTAAGTATTCAGCGGTTAACCGAAAGGTCGGCGGTTTGAACCCACCAGCCTATGAGTCGGAATCGATTTGAAAGCAGTGGGTTTGGTTTTTGGTTTTTGGTTTTTTTTTTTTTTTTTTTTTTTTTTTTTGTATAAGAGGACCTAGTACAGTGTTTATACCTCAACATAAAGGAAACAAAAATCCTCACAACTGGACCAGTAAGCAATATCATGATAAACGGAGAAAAGATTGACGTTGTCAAGGATTTTATTTTATGTGGATCCATGCCCGTGGAAGTGGGAGTCAGGAAATCAAATGACATATTGCATTGTGTTAAAAAGCAAAGATGTCATTTTGAGAGCTAAGATGTCCCTGACCTAAGCCATGGTGTTTTCAGTCACCTCGTATGCATGCAGAAGCTGGGCAATGAAAAAGGAAGACCAAAGAATTGACACATGTGAATTATGGTGTTGGTGAAGAATATTGACTATGCTATGGATTGCCAGAAGACAGAACAAATCTGTCTTGGAAGAAGTATAGCCAGAATGCTCCTTAGAAGCAAGGATGGCGAGACTTCATCTTACATACTTCGGATATGTTATCAAGAGGGACCAGTCCCTGGAGAAGGACATCATGCTTGGTAAAGTAGAGGGTCAGCAGAAAAGAGACAGATCATCAGTGAGATAGATTGACACAGTGGCTGCAGTAATGAGCCCAAACATAGCAATGATAGGATGGCACAGTACTGGGCACTGTTTTGCTGTATTATACTTAAGATCACTATGAGTTAGAACTGACTCAGCAGCACTTAACAACAGTAACAGTACATTATTAATTTAGGCATATAGTAGCACTTTGGCAAGTATGTTTTTAAAAGTCATTCTAAAATTATTTATACATACAGCAATTTTAAATAGCCCCCCCCCCATGATTATATAGTTAGAAAAATTTGGAAGAAAAAAAGAAAAATATAAAGAAAAATTAAAAATCAACTATAACTCACAACTCCAAGATTATTTTTAATATACTGATTTATTTTCTTCCAGCGTTTTCTCTGTGAATAGATATGTGCATGTTATATGTACTTTTTATAAAAGTAATGAAAGTCACATTGTTAATATATTTTATCCAACACTATCTTTAATTCTACATATCTCACCTTGAACTCATAATGTATTTCTTTTATAAGCCATCTTGTGTTTTCTTACCTCTCATCAAATCCACATTATTTGTCACCGTAAAAAGAACCGACATCTTTGGTTTTCTACGTTAATCTTACAATATTCTCTGTTAAAAATGTCAAGGCACAGTTCAATACTCTGTATTTTATCTTATGGTGCCTAACTACCATTGTGTACCAGAATTTATTTTCCCCACGGCTTGTATTGGGATTAGTTTTTGTATATTTTCCCAATCTTAAATATTGTCCACTTGGTACACACATTCCGAGTTCCCCTATACCCCCTAGGCTGTTTCATCTCTGACACTCCTCCATGAAGCTATTCACTGTTTTTGGCTAGGATCTAGGATTGAAAAAAGGCAGCAGCATTATTTAGTATACTCTCTATTTATTTATTTATTTTATTGTACTTTAGGTGAAGGCTTACAGAGCAAATAGTTTCTCTTGAAACAGTAGTACACATGTTGTTTTATGACATTGGTTAACAACCCCACAACATATCAACCCTCTAACTTCTCAACCTTTTTTTTTGGTGAAAA